CCACCTCACTACAAATAAGTCAATTTTGTTTCTTTTTATGGTTGAGTAGTATCCCATTGTATATATGTGCCACATCTTTTATTTATTTTTTTACTCTTTTTGTTGATTCTTTTTCTTTTTAACATCTTTGTTGGAGTATAATTGCTTTACAATTGTGTGTTAGTTTCTGCTTTATAACAAAGTGTATCAGCTATACATATACATATATCCCCATTATCTCCTCCCTCTTGCATCTCCCTCCCACCTTCCCTATCCTACTCGTCTAGGTGGTCACACAGTATGGAGCTGATCTCCCTGTGCTATGTGGCTGCTTCCCACTAGCTATCTATTTTACATTTGGTAGTGTATATATGTCCATGCCACTCTCTCACTTCATCTGAGCTTACCCTTCCCCCTCTCCGTGTCCTCAAGTCCATTCTCTACGTCTGCGTCTTTATTCCTGTCCTGCCCCTACGTTCTTTATAACCCCTTTTTTTTTTAGATTCCATATATATGTATCAGCATTCGGTATTTGCTTTTCTGATTTACTTCACTCTGTATGACAGACTCTAGGTCCATCCACCTCACTACAAATAACTCAATTTTCTTTCTTTTTATGGCCGAGTAATATTCCATTGTATATATGTGCCACATCTTCTTTATCCATTCATCTGTCGATGGACACTTAGGTTGCTTCCATGTCCTGGCTATTGTAAATAGTGCTGCAATGAACATTGTGGTACATGACTCTTTTTGAATTATGGTTTTCTCAGGGTATATGGCCAGTAGTGGGATTGCTGGGTCGTATGGCAGTTCTAGTTTTAGGTTTTTAAGGAACCTTCATACTGTTCTCCATAGTGGCTGTATCAATTTACGTTCCCACCAACAGTGCAAGAGGGTTCCCTTTTCTCCACATCCTCTTCAGCATTTATTGTCTGTAGATTTTTTGATGATGACCATTCTGACCAGTGTGAGGTGATACCTCGTTGTAGTTTTGATTTCCATTTCTCTAATGATTAGTGATGTTGAGCATCCTTTCACGTGTTTGTTGGTAATCTGTATGTCTTCTTTGGAGAAATGTCTATTTAGGTCTTCTGGCAGGCGGATTCTTAACCACTGCGCTACCAAGGAAGCCCAAGAATGTCTTCTTGGCAGTGTTGTTGTAAAGATTAAATGAGATTGGGACTTCCCTGGTGGTCCAGTGGTTAGGACTCTGCGCTTCCACTGCAGGGGGCACAGGTTTGATCTCTGGTCGGGGAACCAAAATCCCACATGCCGTGTGGCGTGGCCACACAAAAAATAAATAAATAAGGTTAAATGAGATAGTGTAAGTGGCTGGCATGTGGAGGCTCTCGATAAATGGCACCTTCATGATTCATGATAAGGCTGGGCTCATGTGGTGGGTCCGACCACTTCAAATCCTTGACAGGGCAGGAGGCCACAGTCTGGGCCTGCAGGAGACCCAAGGCAAACAATCAGTCCCAGGCCCCCTGGAAGGAACAAGATGGTGAGAGGTTGGAGAGGTGTCAGGGCCGGGGAGCAGACGCAACACTGGGCTGTCAGTGGTTTGCTCCATCCTCCTCATCCAGCAGCTGTAGGCTTGGTCTGCTAGGGGCTCCTGCCAGGAGTTGGGGGTCACTGGAAAGGCAGAGAGCTCAGGACAGCTTGTGCAAGTTCAGAGTTTGGGTATTAGTGTAAGACAGCTAGCTACTGGAGCCCTCTGGCTGTCCCTCCCAGAGTGGGTAGGATATCCTCTTCCTAGTCCCAGGGCCAGGCAAGGACCCTCTGGGCAGAAAGAAACCATCAGAAAGAACAGCAGCTTCTTAATCAGTCCAGGAGAACAGAGCCCATCCGGAGCGTTGGTCTGATCTCATTTAATTATCGAAACGATTCCTCTTCTTCTGTCCTCCCTAGGGCTGTGTGCTCCAGATTCCCAGAGCTCCAGTAATTGGCTCTCTGTTAATAGAAATCATCAGTATTTATTACACCAAGCACTCCAGCTTATTTCGGCTCTCCTTGTAGCAACATTAAGGCGAGGGCTTGGTAGCCTATCACCAAAGTGACTCTACTTAATGACAAGAGTAAAGGCTCCCAAACTGTTCTCCTTCCTCAGGAGGGCCGAGGGAATCCTGAGCCAGAGCCTAATGAGATGAGCTGCGGGGTCTGCAGCAGGGCCCCGACGTGGCCCTGGGTGAGCAAGAAGTACGGGGCCCAGGAACAAGGGAGTGGAATCCCAGCAAGATGACTGCTCCCACCTTCTCCCCAGAGGAAGTCTCCTGGGGGCTCCTGCTCCTTAGAGATACACAGCAACAGGAAGTGACCTTAGTTCATATATTCTTGCTCTGCCACTCAGGGCCTTGTACACTGTGGCCTCCTGGAACCTTCATCTTCTTCATCTTCTTGTCTATAAATCAGGAAGAATAATATCTACCTCCCAGTGCTGGCATGAGGATTAGATAAGAAAATAATGTGAAAGGATTCCAGTGGGCCTGCTAGGGAAGGTGTGCCACAAACCTCTCTTCCCTCTCTCCTTCTAGGAGTGGGTGCCGTGGGGATGAAATGATAGGATATATGGGATTGGGCCTTGTGCAGTGCCTGGTATGAAAGCCGGTTCCTTCCTGTAGCCTCTTCACCTCTGTGTCTGTTGGTGGACAGAGTCGTCAAAAGACAGGCCTGAGCCAGGACCCCCGCAGTCCTAGGGTGCATGTGGATTTGGGCTGGACACCAAGCTGGCTGCCGCTGTAGCTTCCAGACCCCCATAGGCAACAGCAGAGAATCCCCACCCTGCTACACTCAGTTGTCATGCTCAGGTTCACTGTCAGCCCACCTCTACGTGCCATCAGGTGACAGTCCTGCCTAGGGACCCATCTCTGAAGAGGTGGGCACTCTGTGTGGCCTCAAGGGGACTGGACAGATGTGGGGTTAAATGCAGAGGTGACCTGGCATCTTCTGTTGACCATATCTATCTTTAGGCAGCTATGTCTTTTTTTTTTTCCTTCTAACCAAAGGTCTCACATATTTACTACTAAACCAAAGCACTAGTGCAGAAACACGCAAAGAGAAAAATAATTTTCCCAATAAAACACAGCCAGCTGGTCAGACGGTAGTGATGTTCTCAAAGTGATATGGTAAGATGCAAGTGACCTTGACACAGCATAAATGTGTGCCACTTCATAGGCGAGGCTCCTTTCAGACCCAGCGTGGTTCTTCTCCAATGTCTTCTCTTGGAGTTGTACCTCATTTTGTTACCAGCTTTCATTCGAATCCATTGGGGAATGGGGTGATTCTGCTTTTGTTTCTTGGCCAGGAATTGCTTGATCCTGAAAGTCTTGTGAGAAGACAAGACTTGTGAGCCTTGTGAGAAGACATGGAGCAAATCCAGCCGCACATAGGATGGCGGAGAAGAGAAGAAGGCAGCTGTTGTCTTTTCAGGTCCTGAAGTGACTCAGCAGTTCAGGGAGCACAGGTGCGGAGTATCTGCTGAGGACTTTAACACGGATGAGGAAAGCCAGGCTCAGAGAAGTTTCTGAAGGCCCCAGGAAGGAGGAGACCGGCCCTGGAGCCAAGGCCAGCTGACTCCAAAGCTCTTGTCAGTCAGTCCTCTGCAGCCCCCTGCTGATAGTATCTGAGGAATTTATGCAAGTTAAACTACATTGGTTGTACACAAGGCATTATTCAGGAAACTTTGCTAATTCATTTGTAAATATCCATATGTCTTCTTTTTTTTTTTTTTTTTTGGTATAAAATGGCATGAATGTGTTTTCTGACAGTGCTGGCCCCCAAGAGCACAGGGGTTATCTTCAGTAGGCTGTGCTGGTAGATAGGGAACTGTGGAGCTGGGAGGGTGACCAGGTTTCTGAGTGCCAGAATGTTCACAAAGTTCATATTTGAAGTTTCGGCATTAAATCCTATGCAACAAAAACATCACCATCTCCTCACCAAGCGGCCAAGGGAAACGCAACTCTGCATCCACATCACTGGGTTCCTCGGTTTCTATTCTATTAATTTTTTTTTTGGAAACTTATGGTGCCCCTCACTTATTAGGAAGAAGAGGTCAGTGTTTGAGAATCAGTTTTACTTGTGATACTGGGGTCTCTCCAGTAGTGGAAAGAGAGAGGCAAAGATTTGGAGAAACTGAGGCAGAGACCAGAAGTGTCAGAGCAGCTGGGATGAGGAGATGAAGCGCAGGGACCCAGCCACAGAGAGACAGGAAGAGGCCATGGGTCTCCACTGCTTTCCACAGTCTCGAGTGGCTGCCCGAGCTCGTCTCTGAAATGCCAGACTCACGTGAGTATTCACAGAGGTTCCTCTCTGGGCAGAGCCTCCCTGGCTGGTTCCTGTCCCGCCCTCACACGCGCATAAGGGAATTAAACGTGACTCCACTGCAGTTCCACGCAGTGACTTAGGCCGCTGCAGTCAATAAAAACCCACTCTTGGAAAGAAAATAGATTACGGGTCAGGGAAGGGTGGGCAGTGCGCTGAGCAGCCTCTGATCATTCCCTGTGGGGGGCCTCCCCCATTCCTCTTCTCTTCACTTCCACCAAATTACCCACTGCTGCCAAAGTGGGGCCCCGGTTTCCAATTTGTTATTTCGATGGACTTTGCCTCGGACCCTCTGACATCGATGTGGCACCACAAGATCATGCAGCATGGAATCCAGAGGAGTTTTCACAATGAGACATTTTCTCTGGCGTCTGTCACTAAAAAAGCCAATCATCCCAATATTGAAGGGGCGGGTGGCACAGGCGCGTGGTTCCTCCCTGCCTGTCACCCTCTAGAGCAGCGGTCCCCAACCTTTTTGGCACCAGGGACCAGTTTTGTGGAAGACAATTTTTCCATGGACGGGGGCGGGGGGAAGATGGTTCAGGCCATAATGCGAGCGATGGGGAGCGGCAGATGAAGCTCCGCTCGCTCGCTGCCGCTCACTTCCTGCTGTGTGGCCCTAACAGGCCACGGACCAGGGACCCCTGCCTAGAGGGAGCAAGGTCAGCGCAGTCTCCAGCCATGGGGGCGGGTCTTACCTTACACGGGTGAGGGTCCACTCCGTATGTCTCCAACGTCTGCGCTTTTCTTAAAAAGTTCAGCTCTGATGTTGCTGGTGTTTGGCCACTGGAATAAAGAAAATGGGATGATTTCAGGATTTCCTGCTCCCATAGGTTCCCCTGAGGTAAACTCAATTAGGAAGTGCTCAGGGTGTCTCACACTCCGATTTTTCCATAGATTGTGCTCCCTGCTCCGTCCTAGGACCGACTTCAGAGACTCTTATCTAGGGTCAAAACCTTGGAAGTCTTCAGAGTGAGGCAGGCTACATAATGAATGACATGGGCTGAGTGTAATACAATAGGGAGTGGTGGGGACTAGGGCAAACTGGGAGTGCCACCCCGTCTAATGAGGGCAGCTGCTCCTCAGCTATAGTCTTGGAATGCAGTCTTGGATTGTAGTCACACCATCATTGCTAGGTGTGATTTTTTTTTTTGCGGTATGTGGGCCTCTCACTGTTGTGGCCTCTCCCGTTGAGGAGCACAGGCTCCAGACGCACAGGCTCAGCGGCCATGGCTCACGGGCCCAGCCGCTCCACGGCATGTGGGATCTTCCCAGACTGGGACACGAACCCGTGTCCCCTGCATCGGCAGGCGGACTCTCAACCACTGTGCCACCAGGGAAGCCCAGGTGTGATTTTTAAAGAGAATTCACAGATACCGAATTTTATGTGGCATTTCGGTTTTAAGTACTAATGGGGGCAGAAAAAAAATACATCTGTAGGCTGGCTGCAGGCCATCTGATCTAGACTGAAACACAAAGAAGGGACCTGTATATCTTGCTGCCTAACCCTCTTCCTTTACCAAATGGGAACACAGGAATGGAGGGTAAAGAGATGCAACAGAAGACAGTGCTGAGCTCCCCAGACTCCACAATAGCTCTGTCTGCCCACAGGGTGATGACTGTGAAAAGGAAACAAGCAGAAAAAAGGAAGAAACCAGCGCTGGCACCAAGCCATATGAAGAAGGGGCCTTCAGCATCACTCCCCTCCTGGCTGCCTCTTTAGCAGGGGCGTGGATGGGCTCCACGCAGAACCAGTGCAGGATCACCACAGGCTCTCTCAGGGTCCAGTGCCCTGGGAAGCTGACCTCCTTCTACAGATGTGGGATTGGCTTCAGTATGAGGAGGCATGGGCAGTTTGTCAAGTCAACAACTCTGACGGCTGGTGGGCATGACCGAAACTTTCTAAGTTATCATTTGCCTCAAGTAATATGGCAGGGCAGGAAGACAAGCCAGCCTGAGGGAGAAGAAGACCAGATTCCCTCTAGTGTCTTTCTGGAGAGGCATCAATCAATCAGCACCTCAGCAGCTTCTGTGCTGCCCTGTATGAAATACACCATAAACTATAGTGCAGTCTGGGCCCTCAAGGAACGCATGTTGGAGTTGCAGAAAGGAACCACAGACACGCTTTTACACTATGAAGATGAGGCTGAGCCTGTGTAAGGAGTACCTGTGTAAGGAGTGCCTGTGTAAGGAGCGCCTGTGTAAGGAGCACCTGTGTAAGGAGCGCCTGTGTAAGGAG